CAAAGCAAAGTAGAACAATTCGAAACTGAACTAGTACAAATCCAACAGACAGTCGCGTCTGTCGCACATCAATATGGGAAGCATAATCAATATGTTAATATCGCAGATAAGAATTTAAGATTCCTTCACATAAAACATGCAGACGCCGACATGGGACAAGAGTAGCCAGCATTCCCCGGAGATACGATCATAAATAAGAGGACGTTTAGTTGGGGCCGCGACGGTCTGATGAGTTTTTATCTCGGTTAAGGTTTCATTATGCAAATAATTCTATTTAAAAACGACGATTGGAATATTATTTAACTTACTTATGCAATTGTAGCAATACGATATTGGAATACTAAACAGTCACTTTACACGATCGTTACGGCTGTAACATGGCAAAGTGGGGTAAACGATGTCACTGTAATATTTCAATGTTAAATTAAGAAGCAATGTTCAAAACTGTTTTGTTTTTGACACTTTTGATTTAGCAATCAAAATTAGAAAAGATTATAATATGGGTTCTAGGTAACTGATAATCATAATTAAACATGCTTTTCTTTTGTAAAAAAAAAAGATGTTATAAAGACGTAGACACTGAAAAAACAATATGTGCATAAAACAATTATTCCACAAGAAAAGATGAAAACCCACACCCTTGAGACAGGTTTACTATACATTTCGTCAATCTGAAGAACTACTTGAACTACTGGAACACTAGAATTGTTTAACTCCGCGTGACGGTCGCGATACAAATTAGGCTGCATACAAACAAAGCGAGTACCTTGCTATACAAAGAAATAAAATGCATACGAGGCCGATAGCAAAAGTTTAATATGAATCTACCATAGAATAGAAATCAAATCATCTTCAAACCAGTCCTATATTGCACACGTCGATGTCGCCCACGCCTGTCTATCACGGTAAAAGCCACTCCTGACCCCGAGTTCAAACTGTTATCGCCTAGTTAAGCACAAAATATAATCAGTTAAAAATTATAGTTACAAATTAATTACAAAAATATTATTAACAATTACACATTACATAAGTGTAAAAATTAATTTTCAAGAAAGAAACAATAACTTATGTAGATCAACGTAGGAACATTATATTCATAGTATTATATATTATATATTGGACTCCTTGAATTTACGCGAATATTCAAAATATTAATAATACCTAGTATATTCATAATTATAATTTTTGATGTTTCTTATACTTTGCTAAATAAACGATATAAAAACGGGAAAAATTGTGTCATTTAATAAGCTTAAGGCAGGATAAGTATATGTACTTATTTATTATAACTTATTTATTATTTAACATAGCTTAGAAGGTTAGTAAGCGATGGACCGGCCACATAGCTCGTAGAGCTGACAACCGTTGGGGAAGAATGATTCTCGAGTGGCAGCCTCATACTGGCCATTGCAGAGTGGGACGACCCTCCCTAAATGGAGTGACGACCTGTGCAAGTGAGCGGGAAGTCGATGGATGCAGGTGGCTCAGGATCGTGCCTGTGGGGGAGGCCTACGATGAACGGTGGACTCAAACAAGCTGAAATGATGATGATGATATACAAATATTAGTAATACAAAAGAAATCAATTTTTAAAGTTGTGTTTTTTGATTTAATGATTAAATGATACCGTGGTGGTGATGCCGTATGCGTATATGTATATACCACACAATTCCCGTATTGAAATGGCTCCACAGAAAACCAGCATAGCACAATAATCAGAGCTTTTTACCTCTTTTTATCTGAGTGGAGACCATTTTTGACAGCTCAAAACATCTAACATCTACCTTTTACATTTTTTAAACGATTTTTTTTTTCATTTGTTCATAACATTTTTACTTGTAACATTGTGTTATAACAAGTGTCTTGTTTTTATCTTCAATTCGTTACGTATATTTAATGTATTTCAAATGCGAGTGCTGTTTATTTCTTTTTTGTCAAAGTAACGTTTATGTCTTCTATTCAAACAAATTGGGCGCACAGAGTAGTTTTTTATTTGGCTTAAGTTTAAATATGCTGCGTTTATATGTAGTGTTATGCATTAAGTTATAATTTGTATAAAATATGTTAGTGTCAGTTTCGACCACTGAGCAACCAATGATGTTGCCTATTCAATTCAATAAAATTAAAAAGAAACATAAAAATTAAAGTAAATTAACAGCCTATACATATCCCACTGCTGGGCAAAGGCCGCCTCTTTTAGGGACATAGGACATAGTCCACCACGGAATATAACCAAATCAAATATTAACATTTTAAAATTTTCAATAAAAGGCACAACAAACAGAAAGGACTACTAACTATAACAATAATACTTAAAATTAAAAACAGGCTCCATTAACAGAATGGAATCCGTCTCAATAAATGAAAGTAAAATATCGCTGAAATAAATGTATCAAAATATCTCTGAAATAAATGTATCAAAATGTTCCAATCTAATAATTATCATATGCGGTTGAAGGTTTCCGAGGAATGATTTGTTGGATCCCGTAGATTGAAACAGTAAAAATCCAATTAGAAATTATTTACAGGAGAGAAAGAATTTTTATTATTATTGCTTGGAGTAAAACGAGTGAAATGACATTAAATATAATGACCTAAGCTAATAAACCACTTAGACAAATTTATAACAGCATTTGACATTATAATATCAAACGCTATGGACTAGTTTGTTTGCCTAATACCGATGTAACATTTTGTGTTCACCAAAAAAAGAAACAACAAACATAATACAGTAACGTATAAAACGTGAGGGCGCACGAAGATTTCGTAGCGGCCGCGAAAGGAAATCTGCGCCAAACTTTCAAACAACACACAACAACAACAGCATTTCGAACAACACGCAACAACAACATGATGCAATGTGCTCTCCCGCAACATTAAAATACATACGCAGCTACAACATCCAATGTGTTATTTAAAAATAAAACGCTCGCACCAACGTTCGGCTTTGTAATCACAGCGATTGATCAACATCAAGGTAGCGTACTAAATCGATGATATGTCTATTGAGTTAGATACCGGTCCGCCGCGTCGCGTACCGGCATTGGATGTACCCCGGTTACTACGTCGACGAGCTGACTCTGCGTTAAGATAGCGTTCAGTAAGTCGCTAGCAGCCAGGTTAATAGTCAGCGGTATCTGCATTATGTCATTAAAACTTCATCACACGCGCATCGGCCCAGATAACTGGACTTTGCACATGTTATTTAACGTTACAACGTCTTGAGGGGAGAAGGATATCAGCTTCATAGTAAAATACACGAGCTTCTTAATAATTAACCTATTGCTTATCTGCAATCATTTTGTATTAAGAAAATTGTTAAAGTTTGTCCCTAGGGCATTTCAAGGGCATGATGTATGTTTACATCATGCCCTTGAAATACACTGCCAGATAGTTAAAGTAAATTGTAACATGTAAAGTATTATGGACGCAGACTTTAAATGAGAATCAAAATAAGGTAATCCCTTAGCGCCGAAAGTTTTTGCTCATTTATCTACAAAAATTTATAATTTAAATAATTATAATTTTCATCTTGAGTGTAGGATTAGCGCTAAAAATAAAAATTAATCCTAAAAATTTTAGGAGCAATGGCGACATCTGTCGTCACAAATGTTCATCATTGAATGTTCTTTGTAAATTGTTGTATACTGTAAAGGATGCGCACTACCATGGCGCCCAGCATTGCTAAAAATACAATAGGAAGAACGTTGATAAATGTAGAGATTTCATTTTTTTTTCGTGTCGTGAGGTCATTGGCCGCTTAGCTTAGTTGGTAACGCGTCTGGGCGCGAAACCAGAAGACACAGGTTCGATCCAGCATCGCCGAAAGTTTTTGTTCTTTTATCTACAAAAATTAATAATTTAAAGGCAATACTTAGTCTAACAAAAGTTTATGAGAGTACTTAATGATTTGAGATACCTATTAAAAAATAATAATGTTTTATAGGTATCTATAAACTGAAATAAATTTCATCCATACTTTTTGATTTCAATTGTAGCAATATATTACACACGTCTTTAGCCGACTTTTGTTTCCTTTTTTACCAGCGCTTAAGAGAGAAAATCTCTCTGGAAGGAATAAAATTATTCAACTCATTCAGCATAAATTTACAACTTAATTTTGATTGTGCAAGTTAATTTATTGCAAGACCTTCTGTGACACAATTTAGAGCGGCGAAATAAATATAACATGTACAGTAAGCCCATTATTAACAATTAAAGTTTACCTGTCTCCTAAATTTTGCAAGTAACTAAATAATATTTGATTTATTATCCTACTACGTCTTTATTAAAGTTATGAACTCTATAAATAAACTTGCATCGTCATCCAATATAGCACTTGCAAATATTCTCCCTAAGTGCACCACCAGTGCACATAAATTTGTTTGGCTTGAATATGATGTACAAACTATTCGTGTCATTTTAATCATAACAATGTAAAATTCTGCACCTATTAACATAGTAAGGTATACGGTTGCCGAAAGGATTTTATGCCCGCTTAGAAGGTCAAAGTAAAAATCTTGACGGATCGGGATTGATAAAAACCGCTAGAGTAGCAGTGGCAGCGGGTGAAATGGGGCGATGTTTTTGCTGCCGCTGTTAAAGTGCGGTGTCGCGCCGCGCGTCAACCACTCAAGTCGCTTCTCTAATTGGACGTCCACCTGTTGCGACTGTTTCTCGTTTCGTCTGCCCCCGAGTGTATACACTTCGCGATGAGCGCTCTACGTGAACGGTTTCGTAATAGTTGACGAGGCAATCTTCTGCGACGCCCTTTGTGCGCCCCGAACTGCGTCATCGGAGCGCGGCCTTGGGCCGTTTCGGGTTTGGTTACGTTTACGCCTCCAACTATTCCATTCTCGAGAAATGCGCTGTTGAGATTCTCTTTGAACCTCAAAGCGGCATCCGAAACGCAAGCGAAAGAATGCCAACAAGAAAAGGTACGCCAGCGTTGGTACAACAGTGGAGCGGGTTTACGCAACCGTACCTTACTCTGCCTCGTGATGACCGCTTATTTTCTGGTGGCTCTCGATCGGCAATGGTCGCTGGAGCGTGAAGAGAGCGGCGATCAGGTGCCCGCCGCTCCGACGCGTACGGCGATTCTCCACGCCGCCGTGCGACCCACCGTCGAGGCCGGAAACACAGTGACAAGTCGACAAAAACTCACATCCATTCACACTCTTTTCCGACCGTTATTCGGACAAACTCCTACGTCCATTATGCGGTTCATTGGCTGAGAATAATGCAGGGCAAAAACCACCTTTTGACACTTGCACTGCGAAAGATTACGGTGAATGACTGCGTATCTAAGTGAGCAAGAACGTCAAACGATACACGATCCATTCTTTCTCGTCCGTCTCAAAAAATATTTGGGAACATTTTTGACATTTTTCTTTATTTTATTAGAGAGTTGATAATCCGTAGCGTCGAACCCAATCGTTTAAAAATATTCCAAGGTAGTTTTGCTAAGATTAGAACAATGTTTCAATTTTTGCTTAATTTATGTCTTATAATTGTGCCAAGGCGATTTGTATCAAGATTTCTAACCGCGTCGACGACATTCACAATTTATCAATATCATATATATAAATTATGTTCCTGCCGTTGCAGTAAATTCGTATTCTTAAAAGTAACTTATTTGAACTTCTTAATACTAGCTAGGTGACAGCTCATCAAAAAGTTAACATTAAAAGGTTAAGATTAAGTAATTAAATGTTAAAAACATCCCCCAACAGTTTTCAGGAAAGGTACTTTCTCTTAGTGGAATCTTAGGCTGGTTTCGATACGTGGATGTTTCAAGTTCGAATCTGCAAATATTCTGTCTTACAACTGTGCTCGATAAACAGTGATAGATCGAACGTATATCGCGATTGGAACTTAGCAAGCTCAGCGAAGATTAAAACAATTATCAAAAAAAAAAGTGCAATTGCAAGCGAGTTGATAAAAATAGCAAAACTAGTGAGCGACACTAGTTTCACGTATGTATCGAATTCTCGCCATAACAACCACAATCTCCATATTAGAAACTCAGGACAAAAATAGTGGAACACGTAATCTGAAACAAACCGTTAAAAGTGGGGACTATAAAACAGGCAGTAAAGCCGTAATTAATGTGGACCGCATTCGTTATACGGAGAGCTATGTTACGCGGGAGACGTGAACGAATGGTTGCAGTAAACAATCATTCGATTGGTTAATCAGGTAAGGTAAGCAATTATTGCCTATACATAACGAGAGGAAAAGTAAGAAACACGACTCAGCTAACTCATCGAGACATGAATGAATATAGGCTATAATAGGCACTAAGGAAGTGTGTTTTACTGCACTAGCACCTGTATCATTAATGTCTAATTTTTTTTATTTAAGATTGTAAGCAAGCCGACAGTTCACCTGGTGATACGTGATGACCGCTGTCCGTAGGGTTGGAGATGTGTTGCCACCATTTAACAAAGTGGGCCCCGGTGAGTGAGGACTCACCATACGAAACGCAGAAGTAAAAGACTTCCAAGTAACGCCGGTATTCTGTGTGGACGGATCAGGCCATTCGTGCAAAAGCGAAGACTATTGCGTGGCTCTACCACAGTTAATATTCTATAAATAAACACAAGTCTATATACAACGACATTCTATGGAAGGTTTGTATATCGACCAAACTGGCGATATACCAAGGGACGCCGGCGTAAAAAAGACACTTAACCGACATTATGTATGCCGTAGAAGCAGAGAAAATATGTCAGAGTTGTGGGAAGGTTGAAATTCTTAATCGCTGTGTGCTCGTTTGAGTGAAAGGTGTGAGTATCTTCGTTATGTTTGTGTGTGTACAAAATATGTCTCATTAATGTATGAATCAATATAATTATAAGAATTATGCATAAACTCAAACTTATCATAAAAGAGATTGAAAAGCAAAATCTTAAAAAACTTTTCGTAACGTTTCCTCATATTATCCGTCATACTATATTATGCCATTGTATTATATGTTTCGCATTTATTTATGTGACGCATTTAATGCCAACACAAGCTTTGTGAATGCTATGCAACTGTCCCGTCTGATCATTTCTTCCGTGTTGTTATTAACTTAACAACCAACATATTCAGAAAGAGAGATTGGTTGATATAATCCTTAATTAAACAATCTTGTAAACATTTGTTAAAAAAACATATACAATGCCTAATTAAAAATGGTCTCTGAGGTCGAAGCAATATTCGGTCTAGAGTCATGTTCTTAAGAAATAAGGAGAAATAAAATAACAATAGTTAAAGTAATAACGCGTTTTCAAGAAAATAATTATCGGAATAAGTTAATTTTATATCAAGAATAGAGTCCTGAAAAAGACTTCAAAAACCTGTAGGTATAACATTTCTAGGCACTCTTGCATAATGAAGAAAAATTTTTTCGCTCCAGGACTAGTCTCAATTAGTGCCGCCGGGCGGTTTAAACGTAATCCGTGCCAGATGAAAATCGTAAATATCGAGAGCGTTGCACATGTGTCACGGCATGCTCGTATATACACTACAACCGGTGGGATTAAATTTCGCTGGAATTTAATATAAATGCATGAATTTTCCCCGTGCCACTCGTACAATCAGCGTCGAGGGCTGACATTTGCATATGTGTTGCTGAAATTCCAGACTAGCTATTCCGTTGAGCTTAACCACGCTCAAAACTTGGCGGGCGCAAGACTCCGTGAAATGTTGTCGCTCTACAAGATGTATCCTCAAGTCGGAAATAACGAGACCGAGTGATTCCGAACAACGTTGTCATCAAATATGTTGAGATTGAATGACAAAAATCGTTAACAAAGCTGTTAAAGACTGCATGGGAACGAACTTTTCATCGCAGATTTTTAATAAATCGGTTGTTAAATACTTGAAACCAAAGATAATGAAGTAAAATATAGAATTCGCCAATTTAATTCAAAATTATAAAACACATGCGTTGGGATCTTTACAAATTCCAGGATGTTTATAATAACAGCTGGTCATAATAGCTGCTCACAATTTTAAAGAAAATTCTGTCCTGATAGCAGCTGTAGACAATATCATGGGCAAGTAAGTAATAAATTCATCGAACACACGACTAACAAGCATTACAAAAAAACCGCATATCACCAGTTTACTGCACGCCGCAAGTTCGTTTAGCATATGTTCTATAAGGACTCGTCACGCGCGCCAAGTGATCCTAAAATCAATGAGATGAAAATGTCAGCTGTTGCGTCGCCGGTTAGAACAAAATATGATGATAAAAATCTTAAACAGCTGGTCAAGCATCTTGATCGGTTAGGTGCCACGTGTCAGCAGTGACCACTGAGAGGTAACATATCAGACGCAGCGTCTTCGTCTTTTATGGTTTCTTGAGGCATTGAAATTGCACAAACCCTAACATAAAAAGTTTCCCGCATTCTTTACAGCAGAAGCACTCCAGTTAACCATCTAGTATCTACCACATGTTAGTCCAAATTTTAGAACAGAATTCAGTCCCTATACTAGGGGTAGCCATGGATACTAGGGTATATTTTTTATGTGAATAGTTGGAAAGAGAGAAGGACCGTCTCTTTCTCGCAACTTTTCATCTGATGTTAAGTGATTACCGCCGCCCGTTGACATCTTTATTATCTGACGGGTTGTTTGCACTATTACAAAATGGGCGGCCCCTGTTACCTCAGTCACTAGAAGAAACGCGAAAGTTTATACTTCCATTCTACGCCGATCTTCTGTGAGGCCGTGGTTCTTCCCGGGACCAGCCTGCCCATTAGTGCAACAGCAGAAACTGCTAGGTGATTAGTGTCTAAGGTTCAAGTCACCATGACTTCACCATGTCTACACATGGCCTTCACATATGAGTTGTGCGCATTTCTTAACCGCTATAATTACTACTTCAAATGTTTGACACATCTATCAGAATTAAATTGATTTGTCTACCTTTATAAAGTAATAAATATAAATTGTGACATCACAAATATATGCAACGCAGTAGGAAACGTATAACTGTATACTTTATAAAAGAAGTAGCGAATAAAACGAACGAAACACACACGACCCATTCAAAAAAACAGAACACGCGTATATACAACTCATAAAATATTCATAACAACCCAGTTCACGTTTCCAGTATCATGCAGAAAGAACGCGCATTATTTAACAAGGCGCTCATAAAACGTAGCAACAAGGCAGAAGCTAAAACCCACCCTCGTAAATAACATAAAGTCAAATTCGAGTTGGGAAACATCAACACAGTAAGTCGATCTCGGATACCAAACATTGTCGGCGGCGACATAACTAAGCATAGACACGACTGGATTATCGAATAATACAATACACAACTCTTATTAAAAAGTGTTCCGTCAATTCAATTGACATTAATCAGAATTTTCTATAAACGTGTGGTAATATTACAAAAACTGTATTTATTCAACCAATTAAACGCCCTCGAACATTAGCTGTTAAGACAAAGTCGAGAATTAATTTAAAGCCCAGCCTTGCAGAAAAAAGAGAGGTGGTAATTAAACTTCTATATTCATAACGTCCGATAAAATATCAAGAAGCAATAATAACTAAATGGCAAAGCGTCTCGACTTTAAATCTCCAACGGTATCTGACACATTTAAGACGTTAGAACTGCTTTGCATACGGGGATGGTACCATGCGATAAATAACAACAGTATACCGCAAAGCTTTTTTTATGAAATTTCGATAAACTCGATCGATATAAAAGAACTGGTCAACCAATTACCAGTAGATGTATTCCAATTCTAGATATCATATACGATTACGAATTAAAGTCAAAATAACGGCAGAAAATCCGATAATCTTTGGGCTTCGTCGTAGTTAATTGAAGAACATACATGTTACAATCATCAACCACCCAATTAAACAAACTCAATTGATGTTGTTAGTTATATCCAGAAAATTCGAAAGCGACAGAGGCACCGTTCGATCCGTAATATGTGTTCAAGAATTTAACATACTGTGATTGGGGATACCTTTACTTGCACAGCTCAGTGTGTCAATATCGTTAAGCTATCAAACAATAAAAGACATACGTCGGTCATTCAAATTAAAAACCCACGCGTTCCTCTCACATTACGTTGCGACTCACCGGTACCGAGTGAGACAGCCCCTACCGGGGTCTATTCCATTTGCTTGGCGGGACATAATGCGACGGCAGCACAAAGGCTATTAAATTTTAAACACGATCGCCATTCCAGCGATCGATATAAATGGTTGAAACTATAATGGGTGCATTTATACTGCTATTACCGGTTATCAAAGAGCAATTAAAGAGGCATCGCGCGAGACCGTCCGCGGCTGACGCTCGAGTTACTTTTGACTTCGATTAATCGTCTCTTTTTGTTCAGCCTCAATCTTGCGCATTTGCATAAGAATGTTACTGTTGTCGATACTAATTCCGCTACGGAGCTTCCTCTTAACATTCATTAGACGTGTACCCACTTAGCAGTCTGCGTAGCGTCGAACATAGTCATGTTTTAGAAAAGCAAGGACGGTTACAAATTACCCATGTAACTCTTTTTAATATAATTAATTTCTTTTTTTCTTTAGAGGGAATTTAGTTAGGTGCTTAAAAACTTTACTACGTTCGAAGTCCCACAAAGAATGCAATGCCCTAGCAATCTTCTTTTTTTCCTGCCCTTATCCTAACACTAGGTGGGGTCGGCACAACATGTCCCTTCTTTCCACTTTCCTCTATCAGTCGTCATCTCGATAATCACCCCTTGCAGAGACATATCATTCCTCGCACATTTCCCCTAAATCTTTCTCGGTCTTCCTCTAGCTTTACTATACTACCTCCAACCATACACTCCTTTCTTTCACCCCTTCTCATAACGTGCCCATACCATGACAATCCATCGCTCCTCACTTTCTAATTCACTGGTGCTTCTTTCAATATTTCCCTAATGAACACAATGCCTTAGCGATAAATCCTTATTTTAAAAAAACACCAACCGAATTTGTTTTAATCAGATCCGGGCGGGCCGGAGTAAGACATTCGGCTTTCGACGCCACGAGCGAGCGGTCGGCGCGGCCCTTGGTGAGATTTAAGCGACGGTTCCACCTATCCGCTCGAAACGCCTCAAGTTATGGCGTCCGGTACGCTGTGCGAGACAAAAAGTTAATTAAAGCCGACCGAGTTGACAGTGTACGGGAGCCGCAGGTGGCTATGGGAAGCGCGGCCGTGCGCGTCCGATCCGCGCCGCGACCAATCGCCGCTAATTGTGACCGACGCCCGCTTCGGAGGCATTACAAATAGAGCACTGAATCATACGGGGGGAGTCGCATAGCTAAATTTGATTACGCTATAATAAAGCGGACGTTTGGTATCGGAAGATAAATCAAACTGATTTAGATACAAGAGACGTAACGTGATTTCCGATTGGTCTTTTCCGGAATTTTCGGATTAAGACATTACGCAGCAAGAGTAACTATGACTTAGTCGACTTAACAGGATCTCTAATTTCGGGGTTTAAATTCGGAGAGCTGTGGGTTGCTAGCCGCTCGTCGGCCTCCTCGATTCCTCCTCCCTTAGCTATGCAATGTTTTCTTTTAACTTTCGGTGTAACATCCATACAATCAAGGACCATTTCCTATCCGCAGCCTGTACGTGGCATCGCTGTGAATAAAGTAAAACCTCGCCAATAAAGATTTCATTTATATATACTACATTAGCGGTCCCTGTATTTCTTGTAAGACGACATGCGCATCTTCTACTGGTAACCGTTGTCGTTTTCAAAACGGTCTTGTCAATAGGTTTACTGGTTCGGACACAATGCCCGCGGCGCCCTTATTAGGTTTTCACAAAGGAATGGCTCTGAGTTAAACTTCCCGGATAGCCGCAACCAATATCCACACGTGATCATCAAGCTGGTTTTCCTATGTTGAGGTATGCGGAAGCACCAGGCGTAATCAGTGATGACATAATCTGGTGGGGCAACACCTTGACCAGGGGTTTGCTTATCAGGGGGTTAACACCGCCATCTTCTTCACTCGCTTAGGGGACATTGCAGAGAGTCTCGGTCCCGGTTAAGTGTGTGCCTACCGGATGGCGCGCGTCTGTTCCAGGTTGCCATTGGTGAATTGGGTCAACGGGCCCAGGGCTGCTGCCAAGGGCAACACCACCCACGCCACCGGTCCTGCTCGGTATCGCTCGGGTGTTCTATAATGATTACACTATATGTTGCTTAACGCGATGGTATTAAAGTCGGCAGGAGTGGCGTCATCGCGTCTTTATCACCTTCTCCGTGTCAATACATCTGCGAGCACACATGCCCAATTAAACAAGACAAAAAAGACAAAATTGAAAAAACAAATTAAAAAAAAAAGTAAATTAGGTACTATAATTTCTTAGGTAACATGGTTTTAAGTTAACAAAGCTTAATTTTCTCGAAAGAAGTATTAGAAACCAAAGTTGAATCGGACAGTTTATTTGTTAGAAGACCATCATACCGCTCGTTTCTGTTCCACAGTCATCATGACAAATGAATAATACCTTAAACTTATCTATGAAAGCGCCGGACATGTTCCGACTACAATGTGTTTTCGTGGTGATAAAATATGGATACACGAAAAATAAATAAATAATAGGAACGCTTCGCCTCAATTTAACCGTTAAGAACTTACTAATACTTATCTATATACACAACTTACCTATATACACCTAGCACGCGAGAATTTGTACACGCCTTTTGTATAGATTTCTTTGTACAGATTGTTACAATTTACTTCAAAACTGTAAACATCGTTGGAGTTATGTATCATTACGTTCATAACGTAAACAACAACAACGATTACATTCGATTTGTTAAATATCGTTAGTTGCGCTTCAATAACTTTAAGTATTAAAACACTTGAAATTAATTTGTTTATTGCACAAGAAAAAAATTAAAAAAGACACCATAATAATATGTTTCAATGCAGTTACAGTATAGTATATGTGGAGTTATTGGGTTCATCGTTATAACGCGTAGTAGTAATAAGCGGAGTATGTCAGAGGAGATATTCGTTTTCGAACATGACCACACAATAGAGAGTGTGGACAGTAACAAATAAACAACCGCACGTATGTTTTTGTTTATATCGCCGCGGTAGACGTCGGGCATCGATTCGTGTCGGCTATCAGTCGTGCGCATACCTAATTCAAAGACCCAAGAACCGTCGGCTGTAAGATAGATCACCATCCCATCTGTATAATACTACTCCCTAGATAATTCTGTGTAGTTTATAATAAAACTAGCGTCTCGCCCCGGCGTCGCACGGGTGCAATGTTAATACATATAAACCTTCCTCTTGAATCACTCTATCTATTTTTTTTTTTGAAATTTAAATTGTTTATAGTGCTAATCTTTGCACTTAAGATTGAACATTAAAATATGTAGAAAAAGTGCGAAAAGATTGTCGCCGCTGTGGCAATCGAACCCACGTCTTCGGCATTCGCGGCCTGACGCTCTAGCCACTGAGCTAAACGGCTGATTACCACACCGGCGACAATCTTTTCGCACTTTTTCTACATATTTTAATGTTCAATCTTAAGTGCAAAGATTAGCACTATAAACAATTTATATTTCTAAAAAAAAAAAGCAATGGCGACATCTCTCGTTCGAATTATCGTTGTAAAACGATATTCGAAGTTGTTTGTATGCTGGAAAGGATATAACAATAGATGGCGCCAAGCATTGCTTCAAATGCTAAGAAAACAATGTAGAAGAATGCGTTAAGATTTTCGTCGGTGTGGTAATCAGCCGTTTAGCTCAGTGGCTAGAGCGTCAGGCCGCGAATGCCGAAGACGTGGGTTCGATTCCCACAGCGGCGACAATCTTTTCGCACTTTTTCTACATATTTTAATGTTCACTCTATCTAGTAAAATAAAATCAAGATCAGTTGCGTAGTTTTAAAGATCTAAGCATACAAAGGGAAAGACGGACAGCGGGACGACGTTGTTTTTTACTATGTATTGATTATATACGAAAAGTTGCAATTAACTGGAAGTATGCATCCTGTATCAAACACTTAAAAAAAGCTTCGAACAAGTGGCTCGTTTAAGTATAAAATATAGACATAAAAATATTTACTGTCAACACAAATATTTCAAATCTTAAGATCCTATCCAAAGAAGAAGCGTCGGAATTTGAAATGTACAGCTATATGTTAGCTTCTAAAAGTATCATTAAGAAACTTTGAAATTAAGGTTTTAAAGCGTTTCAACAATACCACCCTGAATATTTTGATATTATAACGATGTGATTATTTTTACACTAGAGGTGGGTATAACTTTTTAAAGTTTTACATACGATTAACGAATAAGTTTATCATTCGATATTAAAATCAAATTATACATCGTCGTCAGTATAAGCGAAACTTCATTTCTTTTCTCAATCTGAGTTGACATTCATTACGCGCTTACTTGATTCAATGGCGTTAAAGAGGCTTACTTCGTGATGTCGGAATAGATAAGCAGCGAGAATATATCAACTGATTAGCGCGACGGTAATTATTGAAATGGCCGAATTTAAATTTATAATCGGGAGTGTCGTGGCTTTTGGTGGCTTAGAGGAGTGCGCATCTTTCGACTCGGCCGTTAACGTGTCCAAGAATAATGGGCCTTCGCCCTGTGGGCGGGTCGCTTCATTACGCATTACAAGCGAGAAATCAGTCGGAGCTAATAACGAACGCTCACATTTAAGCCTTTTTTAATTTACAAAAATTCCCATAAACATCCATTAATGCGCAATAATTGCGTCTGTATATCGGACAAGATAAATTAATATAGAGTTAAGAGAAGATCGTACGTATTGAACAAAACTGATAAATACAAATTATGATACGGGAGGTATCAGAAGATTATTCAGGTATCAGGAGATATATCATAGATATGTAATCACAGAAGTATATTTCACACCGAATGGAAAAAAAACTTCTTTATAGGGAATGTTTCACAATCACACATCAAAGTTACCACTATGCGCCTATGGATGACGTCAGATGAAGCTTTAATAGTCTCGGGACTGAAAGCAAAAACATCAGTTAATACAAGACTATGGATGACTATCTTGCCATCTTTGTCAACTATGATGAGCCATCGCATGATTAACACTGGAAAGTACTGAAAGCAACATTGTTATAAAATAAAAATCGATTCCTGGTTTAAAAATAAAACGTACTCGTATCAAACATCGAGGTCGGCCGACCCAAGATGAGTAATGCATAGGCGATGCGGCGTGGCACGTACAATAACAGGAGACATACGAATTGCCCAGTAGCGGCCGGTTATCAGATAATAAATATTATAGCCCATTCTTTTAGGTGAGGCGGTCATTAATCCAGCGGTCGATAGCGCGCGTATCGCCTTACGGGGCCGCATTGTTGCACCAGCAGTTGTTCCTATTTATCAAGACGCCGGTAATATTGTTCTTACGCACACCGAGGGCTTGAATTCTATCGCGATGCTCGAACAACGAACAGAACAGAGCCGCTTGTCAGGTGACACCGATATTATGAATACATTGTGCTTTGATCGGCCGAACTATGATAAAAATAGTGTATATTTCACGTTAAATTGAAACTTTTTAAATTGATAAATTTTAGCTTTAATACAACAATATCCAACCAGTGACATCAAAGCCGAAGTATTTCAAGTTATTACCGAATTTAATAAATATAGGGCACTGTCCGAACGCTCACTTATAACAAACTTATTATACCCAAGTAACCCGAGTTCAAATACCGGTGCCGGCACCAATGAAATTGTTAATTTTAGGTGCTTACGTGCTCAACGGTGAAGGAAAACATCGTTTGAAAACCTGTATATTTTCGAAATAATAACAAAAAATAAATATTTCGAAGATATATGTGAAGTCTGCCAATCCGTTTTGGGGCAGCGTGGTGGACTATCCCCAAATACCATCTGTATAGAGAAAGCCTTTGCAATGGTACGTATAGTCTGTTACTTTACTTGTATTGATAGTCTACCGCAATGAAGCATTTTAATCAATTTCCGTGAACCAATTGTTGAATAGCAGCGCCGCTGGAGGCTTGAACACATTATTTGAAGTATTACAGTTAAGATCTCATCGGAGTCTGAACGATTAGCGTGTAAATGAGTTTTGTCGATGTGCAGAGCCACGTGTTGCTCGTTGGGGATTCAGATTAGCTTGGTAGGTGTCTCCATCTGGCGGACGAGGGACAAGTTAAGCCGACATCCGTCAACGCCGCCGCGTTAATCACCGGATCGAAGATCGCCGTTGAGCCGGCTTATTGAACTCCAGGGGATTCTGATCGCAGAACCCGTTTCGGGCGCATCGGTTGCAACACGCCCCGCTGACCGAGGCACGAGGCTCGTGTTATATCTTTTGCACTTTACAATTGATAACATCTGTGGCATCATGCTATGGCAGTGAAGCTATCGCAAATCGCCATCGTGTAAAACTGGGGGACCGAATGTGTTCAATACTCGGGCGGGTGGTTTCACTCTGCTAGATCGGCACAGCCACTTATATGGCTGCGTAAGTGTGGCGTATGTGTAAAGGATTGTATGATTTGCTTTTCTTTAATCAAACCGTGCAACCACCAATATAAACCTGGCTACGAGCAATAACAAATGAGATGCCAACGTCATCCGCAACCCAGCTACAACCGCACTCATATTGCTAATAAATATGGATTATATAATTTAAGGGACTACATAAATTTCCTTTATTGATTACAAATTTTATAAAACAGTAATTTTAAACTATGCGATTTACACACATTTATACACAAGTCGAGATCCGCCTTAACTATAAATGTTAACAATATGCTAAAGTATAAGTATATCAAAATGTTCGGCACATAAATAGGGGTCAAATTGCATTTGCGGTCTGCTTTGTAGTAGGCCGGCTACAAGCGAGAGGAGCCACGTATTTATTCTATTTGCCGAACGTGCCTCTCCGACGGGGCCGTCGTTTTACGATGCAAATTCATAGTAGCGCTTAATAAAACACCGAACAACCTCATTGAGAGGCTTATTCGGCTTACCACAGGACGACGGAAATAACTGATGACGATCAAACTATGAAAACAAATTGAATACTGCAGTACCAGAATAAATGATTGTGAAGCTCAATTAAATTCAAAATCAACAATCAGATAGTGTAGGAAGTGAATAATCTAGAAAGACGGCATTGGAAACAGGAATGCTAAACATAAACTGTTAGGAATGGTCATTGGATCCGATAAAGCCTCACATCGGAGGGTACGAGCGGTGCGCAGTTAGTTACCAATGCCGATATATTGGTACCTTTCTTTGCGAAAACAATGCAGCAGGTTTGAATCGATTACGCGGCGGCCGTATCTCACAATATACGAATGGTACTCTCAAATGGTATATTTTAATGGATATATGTGACTCTTAATAATAATACATAAATATGTATATTACATTATAAACTGCGGTAGGGCAACGTAACAGCCTCGTCTGTAGCACGAGCTTGCAGGTCTGTCCGGGATAGTAGGTACCACGACCTCACAGAAGACCGGATTGAAGTGGAAGTGCTTCTGCGTTTAGTCTAGTGAGTGAGGTAGCCGGGGCCCCACCTTATTAAAAAGTGGCAACGCATCTGCAACTAAACGGGTGTTGCAAACGTTCATGGGCGGCGGTTATCACTTAACATCAGGTGTACCGCCAGCTCGCTTGCCACCTACCTTCTCACATAAAAAATAACTCTTTAAATTCAATTGTCCTAAGCCAAAACTGAACTATAGCGGGATATTAAAGGCAACTTAACCGTATTCCGTCCAACAACGCCTTGTCCTAAGCGTGAAACACAACTAACTGACAACGTTCTAAACATTCACCGTTTAGCGGGCGTCGGCACGCGGCGTGGAGAACGCGAGCGCAACCGTTCAAAACCAGCCTGAGCTGCAAACGAGCCCCGTGAAGCCGAGATTCGCCATTGCAAAGGGAACGGGCCACGTTTACCTCGCGCGCCTCGTAAATTGATGGTTCCACCTCGTTCTATGCGAAGCGATCATCGCGTCCCTTTCACACGACGTGCGCCCGTACACGCGGTAATCGTTGTTTACGAAATAAAAAAAGCGAAATCAAAAAACCGGCCAGGTGCGAGTCGCACAAAGTGTTCCGTACCATTGTTTACAATAAACTAATTGGTAAGTACCAATAGGTCGCCTAGCAACCGCCTCGCGT